CGGGGCGCGGCGGCGGGGGAGGAGCGGGAGGCGGCGCGCGCTCTAAGGGGTCCCCTCTGCCTCCAGGTCCCGAGAGCCGTCTCAGCCGCTGCCGGCCAGTCGTTTCCGGAGAATCGAGGAAAACCCACCAGGAACCGAAAATGCCGAAACCAGTGAGTAACCCAGTTTCCGGGTCGGACCTTCGGGGTTCTTTTCCAGCGGAGTTACCTGGGCGAGGTGTTGGGGCGCCTCCCTCTAGCCCCGGGGTCTTTTTCAAACGGACGGCAGCGCAGGAGCAGAGAATCGTCTCCCCTGTTATTTGTTGGTCCTTCCGTGAAATTACGGACGAGAACACGGTGACGATGCTCTCTGCAGCCTTTTCGTTTGCTCCAGTAGTTACGGGCTTTTATAGAACAATCAGAATCCCCTTTACACTGCTTCGGTTTGTTTAAAAAGTGTATTCTAACGCAACTTGGAAGGTTCTTGAAAAGTCTAAATCGCAGGGAGAGCCAGGTTCCAAAGACGCACACCAGCTCGGAGTCCCTGCAAGTGTCCGGACCCACATGCACCCCAAATCTTCCTTTGGCGCTTCCTCTGGCGAAGGAGACGCAGCCTTTGTGGCGAGCGGGCGTCTACCCCGGGCCTGTGAGGCTGTGCTGTCACCCCGGGAATTTGCTACTGCGGCAGGATTTCTGTCTGCAAAAGAGGTTTAGTAATGAACTTGACATGCACAGGACGGCGGCCCTGGAGTTTGATAAAGAGGCTCTCTCCCTGCTGTACCCCAACCCAAAATCAGCTGATTGAAGTGCTGTAGCGCCGTCACCTCCGTCCCCCTGAATCTGAATATGTCACTGCCTCTGTGAGGCCTGGCCAGGCCTGGAGAGTTTTGGCTTTCATTTAAGTTGTGAGAACAAGGCAGGTTCTTTGTGGTGGGCATTTCTTAGAAACTGTATGTATTCCATCTGCTTTAACACAGGTGAACTGGTGATGAGACTTTGGGGAGAGGATTTACAATTTTTTAATTGAGTTTTGAATCATGGAGACAGTATCTGGATTCGTTAAAAATTGGAATAAAAGATTTGAAATTTATTTTTAGTTTTACAGAGAAGTTCTGTAGTCAGTGCTTATGTGCTTTTTCTACCGTTAAGTGTTAGCTTCCCTAAAAGGAGTTTTTAATTAATAGTCTTATTTTACTATTAAGTTAAATAAGTTACTATGTTAATATGCTGATAGATTCAGAAGCCAGTATAGTTTTTGCCTGTTACATCATCAAAATGATTCATTCATGAAGCAGAAAATTCTTTTCCTACACAAAATTCTTTTCAGTTTGAACTTGCAAGCAGCGTGAACCCGCCAGGCTTTTCAAAGCCTGTGATATAAAACTGACCTAAATACAATCTTACTCAGGGCACAGCCCCCGCTGCGGATGGGAGTAGTGGCCAAGATTTTATTTATTTCACTAAAAGATGGCGGAGTTCAGCTTTTAAGATATCCTTCAGAAACAAGTCAGTAAACCAGTTTCCTGTCACTTTCTTTCTCGTTTTTCATAATGAACTCTCTTTTATTCTTTTTCTGGTTTCTTTTTATTTTAGTAAAATATACATATCTTCCCAAATAGAAACTCTGTTAAACGCTACCCGCCCCACCCCCATCCCACCCGAGGTCCTGGCAACCACCCTCTACTTCCTGTCTCTGAATTTCACTCCTAGGGACCTCACTTAAGTGGAATCACACAGTATTTGTCCTTTCATGTCTGGCTCATGGCACTCAGCATGATGGCCTCCAGGTTCATCCATTTCGTAACATGTGTCAGAATGCTCTTCATTTTTAAGGCTCTTTCCTATGGCAGGTACATTTTAATTTCATTTTGTCTTTCATGCCGAATCAGAAACTTTGAAAATGTTCTGACAAAGCGAAGATGGTGGTTAAAGTCTTAAGGAATGATAGTAGCCATCACCTTGTGTGTTAATGTCCCAATAACCAGAGTCACCTTTTGAAGGACTGTATAATAGCTACAGTTACAATTTCCAAACTGTTGCGAGGTCGCCTTTTCGGTCTAAAACTCCTTTGAGAAAGTCCTACCTGTCCCCTTTTCGGTGGTGGTAGTGGGTTCTCGTAGCTTCGCCTCGTAAAGTACATACCCAAAAGTCTTTCTTCACGTGAGTTGAGCGAGGGACACCCCACAGGTGGCCGGGAGGAGCCTAGGGGCCTGCTCACATTTGGATATGGTACTTCTAAGGCTGCTCGAGAGTATCTAGTTTTTGTTATTGTTTTAAGCCACCGCAGACAGTGCTAAAGCTGAAGCGGCCACCAACAAGCTCCACAGATGTACCCTTGAAACAAAGGGTTGTCTTGCTTAGAGTCAGGCCCAAGCTAGGAATTTTGTCAGGTGGCTTCATGCAGTTTGAAGTTTGGCAACAGGATCGAGGGGCAAACATTTACCTAGAAAGGTGGGTACCTCTGAGTAGTTGGGGTGCGGGGCTCACACTGGATCCCTTGAATTTTCACTGAAGTCTTTTTGATTGATTTATCTAAACCGAGTCAGTGGATGGCTTTATTCATAAAGCAGTACAGATGAAATTTATATTTATTTGCTGCTTTCCCAGCCACCACTGGTTAGAAAGGCTGAGCGTCCACTCACTGAGCTGGGCACGGGGAGCCTGCACAGATGGGCGGGCCAGACCTTGCCCTCGGGGAGCTGAGTCTGGGACCTGAGCCCAGACACAAGCAAGTGCTGAAAGAGAAGGCGGGCCGCTCTGAGTCCCTCAGAGAGGGAGACAGGCGCAGGTAAAGCGTGACAATGAAGAGGAAACCCATCTGATGGGCACGTAATGCCTCACTGAGTCTCACTCAGGCCCGTGGGGAGGACGGGAGCTGCCTGGGCGCTCCTAGGGAGGGCGGTGGCCCCTGCCCAGGTCTGCTTTCCTGCAGCCGCTTCGGGGCCCCACTCTTGTGTGACTGGTAGGCAGGCTTCCGGGGAGGATGTTCTGAGGTCCTCTGCTCGGCTGGACTTCCTCTCACCTGGGGAGACGCGTGGGGCTTTGTTCCCAGGGACCTGGCTCAGGGAACACTCTGTGCCCAGAGTTCAGGACGCCCCGTGGGGCTCCTTCCTGCTTCCTCCCATCCCCCCCACTTGCTTTCTTCGTTGCGATGGAGAGGAGGCATGGGGAGTGCGAAGGGAAACGCGCTGCAGTCAAGTTCAGGAGTGAAACCGGTTGTGTTTCAAGGCCAGGCTCGCAGAGCCGTTTTCTGAGGGGTTTAAACCCGGACCGCCTCTAAGTGGCACCAGCCTGTCGTTCATCAGGTGTTGGTAGGAGAGACTGTCATATACAAGTAGATTTTCCCTTCAGTGACAAACTCTGAAAGTGTGTTCAGAGTTCTGCCCTGTGCCAAACATTTAGGATAACTCCTGAGATGACCTTGGCGCTCTGGGAATACATAGCGTTTCCCACTAAATATTTTAGCAGGGACAGAATTTACTGAGTATCTGATACATTTTTCTTCCCTCCTACCAACGGAGGAGGACACACGGGATCTATTTTCTGGATAGCCCTCCTTCACCACAGGCAGATGGTCAATTAGGTAGCTCAGATTTTCCCATGTGGCAGTGGCTGGGCTTAGTCATTTGTCATCGTCACATTGTAAGGCACAGTGAGTCCGTTTGTACATTCATCCATTAGTTCCATGGGTGTCGGCTGTGTTACCATGCTAGCTGTCGAGGCTACCGAGATGAGCAGACACAGAAACAGTCCCCGTCATCATGGATGTACAATCTGGTGAGGGGGACAGATAAGGTCATAACATAACTCGAGTGTACGTGATGACGGGTGTGCTGGTGGCAGTTGGGGGAAGTGCCAGTCAGGGGGGTCAGGAAGGCACCCCAGGGGGTGGTGACCGGGCCGAGCAGTGTGCAGAGCGGAGGGGCCTTCACTGGGTGAAGGAGGAGGCAGGGAACGGCCTGTGCAGACGCCCTGTGTGGAGAGAGAGCAGGATGAAGTTCCTGATGGAGACCAGCTATGCAGCCTTCCTTGCAGACCGTGATCAGGCGTTTGGGGGCTCACCTCAGGGAGAAGCCTGAGGTAAGGTCACCTGATCAGATTTGCCTTGAAGCTCACACAGCAGCTGCAGCGTGAGAATCAGTAGGAGGCAGCTGGGAGCAAGAGTGGAGACCGTAGACTATCAGAGCAGCCCAGGTGAGAGGTGGGGATAGCTTGGCCTCAGGTGGCTGCGGTGCTGATGGAGGGGAGGGGCCATATTTGGGAACTCTGAGGGAGGTGAACTTGATAGGACTCAGTGATGGATGGATTGGAAGCACAGGGGCAGAGGGCGGTGCCGAGGCCAGCCTCTGGAGCCTGGCCTGCAGAACTGGGCGGCTGGTGGTGCCATTCCTTCACTGAGATAAGGCCATTCCTTCACCTGGAGAAGGACCGGGCGTGGGAGGGAAGGTCGAGGGTTTGGTCTCCACAGTTTGTTAATGAATTTGTAACTGGTCGATGAAAAAAGTCCTTGCTTTCTTTCATAATTAGAAGTGCTACCTCCCAAAGTGTGTACAAATACCAGACTTATCAAGCTACAGCGGTTTTAAATCCACATAAACTAGAAGTAATCAGCAGCTTCTTATGTTTCTCCTGAGTGTATGTACACACTGTACACACAAAGTTAAAAGTTAGGATTAATTTAGCACGGTGATCTCAAATTTGGGTGCATGTGATTACCCGGAGACTGAGGTTCCTGGGCCCCTCACAAGCACTGCTGAGTCCCCGTCTCCACGGCCGGGTAGGACTGGGTACCTGTGCTTTAAATAAGCTCCCCAGATGGTCTGGATGCACCCCAGAGTTCGGGAACTGCTGATTTCATAGGAAAAGGGCAGATTTTATGTATTCCTTTCTCTTGGACCCCAACAATGCAATGAAGTCCCCTCCACGGTGGCCTGGAGTTCGTGTGTAAGCAGAGACCAGAGGCCAGTGTGCTTGTGCTCCCAGAGCGTCCATCCCAGGGACGCTGTCATAGGCTCAGGAGTGGATGCAGTCCCCTTCTTAAAGTTCGGCTTAAACGCCACGGGTGTCGTCACTGATGTTTGGAACGTAGCTGGGGCGGGGAAGAGAAGGTAGCTGGATGGGTATCAAACTCGAGAAAGACAAGGCCAGCTAAGCTGTGTGATAGCATCTCTCTG